TGGTTCCTATCTCGCTACACGAGGTCACATAGAGTGGTTTCTCAACTACCTCTGACACACTTTCCGCTGTCATGGTTTTACCGGTCCCAGAAGAGCTATCAGTTCAATGTTAGTTTTTTTTTTTTTTTTTTTTTTTAAAAAGTCCGAGCTGGTGGATCATTTACCCGTGTAATAGTATGATTGAACCATTTCCTTTCCTGCCGATGAGGCCTGGGCTCTGCTCGTCTTTGATTTGGTTTGCGACTAAAGATGTGATGAGGATCTTCGTATCGTTATCTCTAGCCAATGTTTCAAACGCATCTTTGTTCCATTTAACCGCGTACATGCGACTAACTTCGAGATTGACTAATACAACACATTAGCAAACAGGACAGTGATAATTGCGTCTTTTAACAAACCCCATTTCTTTTCTTGCATATTGAATCCAATAATCGTGTTAGGCAGAAGAAGTGTGAAAACACCTTCTGGTGGTAGATCAGACGCGATCGCCAAAGGACCCAAGTCGTCTCGATTGGGTGGCTTGGCCCCTGCAGACTTGGTGTGTAACTTCTTGTATGTTTCGATATCAATCATATACCTGGATTGCCCCTGTGAACAAATATGATATTAGCCAGCTGAATAATGTAAATTTGATCATCGGGTTTGCCCACAATGTTCTCTTCTGATTCATCTTCTTCACTGTAGTATATGTAGCAGGCCTTGCGGAATTTCCAGAACATTTCTCCCTGTTTTCTAAGCGATGTCCCAATGGTGGGGTCGGCGTAGTGCATTGGATAAGTGCTCAGAGCGGTGATTTTGACAACTTCTTCTGACGTTTTGAAATCATCAATCGTGATTAATTCAAGGTTCTCTTGAAAGAGACCATCAAATGTCCAGGAAGATACGAGCAAGGAGGTTGTCAACGTAGCTGACTCTCCAGTCCCTTTAGAACTCCCTCCTGCCGGTAAATGAAGCCATGATTTAGTCAAATACGCCTTCTTCTTTCCTTCATCATCTTTGTCGGCGCGCAGTATGACGGTGTCGGGGCTCTGTTTTCATGCTGTCAGTTAAATTCCAAATCTGACCATGACCATAGGACCCAGAAAACCACCTACGTAAAGATAGCACAGGTATTTGGGCGAGATTTTCCCCTGGCTTAGGAGTGTATCAACTATAGCATATTCGGGCCCAAAGCTTTCATTGACGTATTCGACAAAAGAATTTACACGAGCCAAAAGCTCAGGTTTCAGGTGGCGTCTGCGCTCTTCCAAAGGAGCTCTCTGGTGGTAAAACCATGGGTATGGTGCCTTGAACTCGGTGCCAACGTTAAATGAAGGGTAATATGAATTTTCCTGGATATTCTGCCTAGTAAGTCTTTTGAGACCAGCGGATAGCTCGCTGCCGATCAGGCACACAGACTCGCCTTCGAGAAATTCTGCAAGTTCATTCTCGCCGTTTGAACTAGGTTGTTCCGAGCATGCAGACTTCGGTTTCGTCGGATTCGATGTGTTCAATTTATCGATCTTAGGTCTGCAACAGGCATAGTCTTTGTATACAATGAACGACAAGTTTGTATATTCTCGGGTATGCAGAGCAATGTTTCTTACAATTATACTACCATGGATATGCTCACCAGTCGGACTGTCTTTGACAAGCCAAGGAGTATCCAAAAACATGTGGCTTTGTTCCTTTTGATAACATCTGACTCGATAGATCGTATGATAAGGCAATGCCAATTTTTCTTGATTGGCGTCACGGCTATCTGACAAAAGTTTGCTTCTAGTCATTTCCAACATTTTGAACAGATCTTCGTCATGACTATCATGTGGTGCATTGAATAGCTGGCAAAGCTGCGATTTCCAGTCGACAAAATTACTTTGGCGATGAAGAGTTGTCGATGATATGGATCCGTGTATTTCTGATAATTTGTTCAGTAGGTAAGGTTAAATATGAATAGTAGATTACTCACGAGCTCTACGGCCGTCCATAGATTGTTCGAACTGATGTTCAGAACTGTATCCACCTGCATGACCACGAGTAGAATTTCCATGAGATTCTGGAGTGAAAGTCGATTGGTTAGGAATTGTAGTTGCTAAAAGAAATCAGTATCAATTTTACAGAGTGCCAAACAAGAGGACTCAAGAACATACGAGGACTGAATTCCCCTTGAGAACTTTGATCATAGCCATAGTTGGAGGGGGTCATATCATGCTCGTGGTGTGGACCATATGTTTCGTGCCCATGGTTTCCGTGATTGCCCTGTGGAAGAGGTGCAATTTGCCCGGCTGGAGCATGACCGAAAGTTTTAGGACTATTGCGGGCATTGTTCTGTTGCGCATAAGACATTTGCCGCCGACTATTACCTGATACACTATCAGGAGTCGGGTAGTTTTTTTGCGGAAGCCTATTATTATGGCTCCAGAGCTCTGGGCCGCTCGGGTGTGAGGAGTCATGCCCGTGCTCTATATTTTGTTGAGTAGCTTCTTGCCGTGACTGTGAAGGATAAGATACAGGATGAAGCCGTGACGATTGCGATCCAGACTCCGCCAATTGTAGAGCCTGTGAGTCTTGTAGATTCTGGACAATATTGGCGTTGTTTCGAGCAGGTTTAGGTGCCGCCCATTGGGTAGGTGCCGCCTGGGGTGACTGAGATTTTTGATGGGGAGAAGACGCAATCTGGTTATGTCTGTATCTATCCGAGAGCTGACCTGTGAATGTGTGAGCTCATTTGCAAATTCGTACCTTGGGTATTGAAATGTCTGTACTCACTGTTTACGGATGGTTGAGTTTCAGAATTGGCCGTATTATTTTCAAACCCTGATCGCTCAGATGTCTGTTTCTTGGCCGGTGTCCGATTCCTATCTGCATATTGCCTGAGATTTGTTGCGTAGGCAGGTCGCGGGTTATTTGCTTGATAAGGCATATGTGAAGTAGAAAAAATAGGGCCGGGACGAAAATCGGAGATTGGGGCTGTCGGAATAGGTGGCGGCGGAGAAGGGGTTATTTGCGTACTGTCAAGGTGACGTATCGATGGAGAGGGGGTTCGAGGGGGATCTTCGGCCTGTGGAGAACCGGAACGATTTCTAGGACGAGAGTGGTGCCAGGAGTCATGCCCATCCGTTATTTGACGTGTTTGTGGCAAAGATGGCGCGTTACGATGCAGTAGAGCAGCGTAATTTGTATGCTCGATTATGGGACTTCCAGAATTCCCCGGGGGCTTTTACATCATCATTAGTCTATGCGCTACATAAGCTACAAAAGTAGGGACCGAGGAAGCTTCCATTCAGTTGGACTCACTAAGTATAAATTGTAGTTGTACTTTTCTGCTAATGTGACAAGTAGCTTTTGTTCATCATCTTCACTTTCTCTACTTATATTTTGTGGCTCGAACTGTGAAACGTTATCGACCATGACATTCTCATCTGCCTCGTCTGCGACAGTTGCTTGTGCTCGACGACTGCGAATATATTCTTGAGCCTCGCGCTGTCTATCCATCGCTTTTCCCGATGGACTCGAACCTCGTTGGGAAATATCGTTCTGTGTTGCAGGTCCTCGATCCATTTCTGAGTAATGCTCTGAACTTCTCACCTTATCAGAGGCAGCCACATCTGCGTTCTCCATGTATGGATAATCCCACAGCCTTGTTTCTTGGTAGCAAAACAAGTATCCACATGAAAGGGTTCAATCTTTTGTATAACTGTTCTGCAGAAGTTTACTGTGGACTGAAGGAACGGCACGAATTAGATTGATTGCTCGATGATCACCTGCAGGTTAATGGGTGTCACTATGAAAATGCAGCTGGCAATACAAATAGAAGGCACTTCCTTTCACAATTGAAGAAAGAAACTTCAGAACGAAAAGAAGAGAGGAAAAAATGACGAGGCTGTCAAATTGAATGTGACGCATCTCCAGACCCATGCGTGCAGATTGCTGCCCTATGCATTGACTTGGTCGGGTCGGGCCCCACACATTACCCAATAAGGTCTATGCCAACGCACTGAACAGAAAGAGTGCTTTTATACAGGCTATTTGAGAAAGCGCACCACTGCCAGGTTTAGGTGAAGTATGAAGCATGCTAAGAGGCGGTCAAGAAGGCATCAGAGTTTGTGGTAGCAGAAATTGTTAAGCCCAGCGAGGTCTAAAAGGTGGGTACTACAATTTTCAACAACTGGAGTCAAAATCCATCTCGTCGTAAACACATCATATAAAATATAATAGCATTGAAGGTGTACGATGGCTTGGCTTTTGGATTCGCGGAATAGAAGTGTATTTGATATCTCTTAAGATCTGTTGTGATGGGCTTCAAAAGCTGTATGCAAACAGACCACTGATATCGTAAAGCGTGTGATGACAACAAATGCAATGCGACATTCTTTCAGGCCAATATCTTGGGCCACTTGGCGTTGAAGAATTCCAAAGAGAAGGCTTACATCTATCTGTACTGGTGCATAGATTGTAGGAGCTTTTTCAGATGGATATACTGCAGTATAAGAGAACGATGTTGCAAGGGACGGAATGGTTCATCATGGTTGACCTCAAAACCGTTCGTGGTGGGGTTAATGTGGCTAGTGAGAATTGCAATGATAACTAGTTGTGGCTGTGACTCTCTGATATCGGACTTGCTTTGAAAACATAAGTTTTACAATCACTACCCTGCTTTGTGATAGCTGAAAATGGTAAGTTATTTCTACGAAACAATTTTTTACGAGTTACCCGTATACTCCGTACAGAAGATGAATATAATGCAATCACGTGATATATTATCACCTGACATATGATCACGTGTATTCATCCGGAGCGGGCTATATCAGCTTCTTGAGGGGCGACGTTTCGTGGATTAGATGTAATCAGGCTTATTAGACACAGGTATTATCATAGGCTACCTGTTGTCATACATAAAATTCGAAGTCAGGAAAGAAAATTGAGCAAGAGGTATTGTAGACTTGGTAGACGTCCAAAACGACAAAAAATGATATCAAAATGATCAGAAAGACTAGGAGAATCCAAAAATGCAAAAGAAATTCCGGTACGGGGAATTGAACCCCGGTCTCCCGCGGCTTGATTCAAGCGTTGAAACTTTGAATGAGAGGCGGAAATGCTAGCCACTACACCATGCCGGATGTCTAGTTGTATTCGATGGGAGTGACAGCGTCATTTAACATTATATTGTCAAACGCGGAGCAAGAAAAATTTTAACAAACTTTTAAGCCAATCATTCACCATGATGTACGTTGAGTAATACAAAGTAGACCTTGAAAGAATCTATATTTAGTCTTTGTGTAGCGTGTGTGTGTGTGTGTGTGTGATATTTTTCGTCCGAGGCTCTGTGCGAAACACAGGCCTCAAATTCCCAATTGGGACAAAGGACGCCAGGGGGGGAAGGCCCCTGGGTTTCTAACTAGCTAATCTAAGTTTACTAGTATTATATGTGCTAAATGCTTCAGCAGGGTTTACATGATTGCCGTTGCGTATTGAGTTAATCCCTTAAATAGATATTTCAGCTGTCCTCCACAATACAGTTAGATCCCTCGATTCCTGATCTCCTCTCCTTCGTTATCGCAATCGAGCTTTTTAGTATGTTTTGTTAATATAAAGTTTTTTTTTTTTTTTTTTTTTTTTAAAGCTTATACAAGCTCAATCTTTCCGAACCAAAACCCAATGCCTTATACAAAGAGAACCCAAAAATAAAATTGTCGGTACGACTCCGTGATCGTCGTATCCGATAGAAATGATTATAAACGTTTATGATCGTATTGAGGTTATTCACAAAAGAGATTCCCGTGAGGGCGCTTGGATTGCTACGCAATTGACCCCTAAATTAAAGGTTATATTGCGCATCAAGGTTCGAAAGAACCATTGAGTGCGAATGGCCTCAATATAGAAGCCTTCGCTTAAGTGAGGATCACATGCTTTAAGAGCACGTGAATACCAACAAAAATAAAAGCAGTCCTTCAATCTATAAGTTGCACAGGGAATCGAGGACATATATCCTGATAGAACCTTGTAGATTTGAGCCAAGCTGCTAGTTTCGCTGCTCCTTCCATGCTTCCCAAAAGATAGGGGATAGCTTCAGATGGCGGCAACTTCGAAAGGGTCTTTTGAGCGTTTCCAATTTTACAAAAGTAAAGTCTTTGTGTAGCGAGGACAAGGGGGATGATCATCTTAGCCGAGAGGTCACGTGCACCTTCCAGGATGTCTGAAAGGTCTTAAAAGGTGAACAGATGCCACTACCTCATTGTTACGAATTGAATTCACTTTGAATGTAGTTGAGCCATCTAAAGCTCAACAAGAGATAACCCCTTTACTATTTATTTTCAATACAGTTTTAAGACCATTGCAGTCTTGACGAAGTACAGACATTGCATAACCACTTTCGGTTTCTTTTCTAACTAATCGAGAGAAGACGTAATGTGAAGAAGATAGGACGCCACGATGTAAAGGATCGTACAAGTGCTCGACCCAATAGCCAGCGTTGTAGTTGCGCTCGACTCATAAGATCATCTGCACCTCAATGCCTTCCTGCTTATCCTGAATTGCTAGAGCCTCATCTCCATGCTCAGCTTCCGCAGGGGGAGTTCCCGAAAAGCGGCGCAACCCTTGATCACACTGAGCATGCTATTAACATATAACCTCTCTCTCTTTCCCATCCCTTTTTATAACTTTTCTGGCACTTTTTTTTCTCATTTCCTAGCACTCCCACCGCAGCCTTACAGTCTACGGTTCTCATTGGTCGCCCTTTTCTCACACATCTTTAAACATCCATTCGCCTATTGGCTATATCCACAAACGCCATCGCCCCTTACGCCCCATTTACTGTTACAGATATGCAGCGCTCTTCTCCAAACGATCACTTTGCATACAACATGCCTACCTCCGACCAAGCCCCCTGGAGCGAAGCATCCTATTTTGGTAACATTGGTATCGCCGAGTTCCCAATCGAATTCTATGCGGGGGCCATGGCAAACCATTGGCCGACTCCCACATTCGAACAACCTCTGCAGCCGCCTTTGGATGAAGGGTTACTCGATGGCACCGATCAAATGCCTATTACCTTCCAATCTTGGCAGCGCCCTTTCGGCGCAATGAGCGTAGGGGTTCCAGCCAACCAAGTCAATTATCCAGCTCTCAGCCAATCTTTCTGCTCTGAAATGGGGCACGGAGAGGGCGGGGATCTAGGGTGAATTTTTTTTTTCCCCGCTAATAGTGAGTCGCCTACTTGCAGTTACATTAGTGCGTTGTTCGGTACGCCGAGTTATTTTACCTCAGATCAAATGCCATCTTCATTGGCTCCCGCGCACAATCATGAAGTTATTGCGGATCAATCGACTATAGTGCCTTTGAGCCATGCAAACACAGCCGCCATTCCAAACAATCAGCCTCCTACCCTTTCCCCCGCTCATCCAATCACTGGTCGCTATCACTGCTCCTATCCTGCCTGCGCTCAGGACTTCAAGCGCCCAGGAGATCGTCTTCGACATATCTCATCAGTTCATCAACGCGGTCAGATGAATCAGGGAAAGAATCTCTGTCCTATTGTTGGATGTCGTCGAAGCTATGGGAAAGGCCTTTGTCGCCCTGACAAAGTCAATGATCATTTGAGAAAGATTCATGGTCTGGTTAGAGTTGCTCCAACTGGTGGCTCTGTTGCTGGTGGTTCTTCTGCCAATGGTGCTGGGCGTGCACCAGCAGCCGCGAGTGGGACTGTTGCTTTGGCTCGAAATGGGAATTGAGGAGGGGTGGATTGCTGAGGAGGGGTTTTGACTTGACACGGATATACGCAGTGTTGTCATTTCATGGGACTTGGGTAGCTCGATAAAACACTGAGGATTTCTTTTGTTGGCGATACTTTGATTAGTGGTTTAACCTTTGAGAGATAGTAGTGGGGTCTGATACAGGATTGAAATTGGGGTTTCTTTTGTTCGCACTTTCCTAACTTGGATTAACGGCCTCTAGTAACGGTAGATAATTTCTCATTCTGAATTCAAATCATTGCGCTTTACATTCCCCTCCAAGATAGTGTTCTTCTTCTCAGCACAACTCTTTTCTTTCGACTCTTGAAAACTTTGCAGTATCCCAGCTTTTTTATCACAATCCCGAGATGCGTACTTGTGATGATAATGATGAACTCGCCCACGGCAACGACAAGGATGACGCAATAGCTCAGGAAATCAACAACACTGAGGAGGAAGATGAGGAGGAAGATGAAGATCCAAATCCTGGAGATGAAGTAATGTGGTTCGGAACATGACAAGGGATGAAATATGCCGAATTGTCTATTCTCATGTAGAATGGATTGTGGACAAGTATCTAGAGAACCCAGATTCTGCTTCGAAAAATGTGTGTGTCCAATCTATACTATCCAAACCAAGACTGGTAATATTCCATTAGATCAAAGACATCGAACTTTTATACGATCGGAAGCAAGTTTGGGTCCAAAAGAATGGGTCGAACCCCCTCCTGGCAAGACTATTATGTGGTTCGGCAAGCATAAAGGCTTTGCTTGCGACAAATCTAAAGATAGCTATATGATGAGCCTGGTCAACATATTTCATATACAGATCGCGCAGTAGCACCCCTTGCCCTCATCACCATCAACATTTGACCACATCTATACAATGGCCAAGTTTTCCATACGGTATTCATAGAATAGCTTTTAATACAATACGAGCACGAACCGAAGTCATGGGGAAGGCCTTATAGATTTTGTCAGAGCAAAATAGGGAAATTTTGGAGAAATTGGAGAGCGTGTAAGTTTCTATTAATACCCCATTTACACACTGGCTTTTTGCTCAGCTTTCTACCATGGTTTAATCATGGATTTTAATACATCAAGTCTCAATATATACTAACTATATGAATAGTGGTAAAAAAGATGGTAATAAAGGAAAACTAAAGAGATTGCAAAAGGAACAACCTAGTGTCATTGAAAAAGCTGGGAACAAAAAGAAGATCGATACTAGCCCGGAATTCACTAGCAGTGAGGAGGCAGAATTGACATCAGATCTATGTGATGATAATGATGAGGAATTGTGGATAATGTTAAAGGCGTCAAATTGTAGAAGCAGTATCATTGTTGTATATATGCTTGCCACAAAGGCAGCTTGACAAATTGCGGTCATAAGGTCATAATAGTGATCGTGAGAGACGAGCGGGTTCCCACGTATATGGGAGGTTTCGGAAATTATTTGACCAGTGTACAGTTTCACAATGTAATAGAAGCCTTTTCCTTCCTTCCATGGCCAGCAAATTAAATGAGATGTCCCGTCATCATCAAATTATTTGTACACAGTAAGGAATCCTCGAAGTAGGATCATAAGGATTCTGCCAGGGAGCGGTGCACCCTAGACTTTCTATGTTGCATGTCTGAAAATCGGTCCAAGAGAAAAAGTGTTCATCAATCCCCAAAATTGGAAAAACTAAGACATACATCAACTGGGAATAAGACCACTTTCCGGTTCTTATTTTTGTGTTATTGATACTGCTTCGTAATTATTTCTGCCCAAAGCGGTGAAACATCTACAATTCCATACCCCTCCAAGTACACGACCAAGTAACGAACAGATGCAATGATCAATTGAGAACAGATGCAGACAGGTAAAATACTATAATATGCCTCCGGAATATTTCACCACACAAATGCTCAAATGTCAATGTCGCTCATGTTTCCTCGTTTGCTCCGAAACGTAGCAGCTGAACCTTTCCTGCGTGCTCGCAGTTTCCAACATCACATTCGGTTCTCAAGCAGAATGGCCTCCAAAGGGCGTAGCTACGAGGATGCGATAGCACTGTTAGATGCCTTACAATCCAATCGAACAATTGTTTCCTCCATATCGAAGACCTCGAAAGATATGAATATGTATGCTATACCAGAAATGCTAGAATGGACGCGCAAGGCGGGGTACGAGACTGGAGATTTCTCAAGGCGCGGATTAAAATGTATACACGTAGCTGGAACAAAAGGGAAGGGTAGTGTGTGTGCTATGATAGATAATATTCTGCGACAGTATCGGTGCGAAGAAAGTGACGTTGGAGTTGTTGTACCAGGGGATACGAAAAGGAAGGGTCTAGGGAAGATTGGGCTATATACCTCACCACATCTAATGACAGTACGCGAACGAAT